CGGCGTCCCTGTATACTTTGTTCCAGAAACGCACGCGACGGCAGTCGGCGTCGGCGACTGACTCGGCGTCGGCGACCGAGTCGGAGTCGGCGATCACGTACGGACCGCGGGAGCAGTCCGTGTTCAGCGACGGCCATCTTTTATGCTCCGAACCGTCCGGTGTGGGTTCACTGGAATAATTACGACATCTACACATATTGCATTTATTTAGTATGTAAGAAGCTACAAGCACTTGGCTTAAACCTCAGAAGCTCAGGGTTGGACGTCAAGATATTCAAAAAAAATATATATATCATACACATTTGTGTACATTTACAACTTACCCAGTTTTAGCAAAATCTGTCCATAATTTAGTGAGGGTGTAGATTAAAGAACGCGACTCTTGGTCCTCCTCGTGGCTGGTTTGGTTGGCCGCGTTGCTGAACAAGTAGAAGAGGTCGTCGGCGTGGCAGGCGCCGCGCGCTGCCCCGAGCTGGGGCGGCAGCAGCCGCTTCATGGCGTTGAGCTGCGTGTCGCACTCGAAGCGGTACATGAAGACGGGCACGCGCGCGGCCGCCAGCCGGCTCAGCCGGTGGCAGTTGTACACGAAGTGCACGTCGGAGAGGATGGCCGCCAAACTGTCTAAATCCTCCGTTGCCCAGTCGCGCTCGCCCGAATAAAAACATTTTACTCGGTCTCCCAGAGCCGACAGTGTGTTCGAGGGCACTCTCCGAGCTACTTCTCTGGGAACGAAATAAGATGGATTTTCATTAAGGAATCCAATTTTTTTCGCTTGATGCTGAACGGATACGAGACCCTCGGCCGAGTTGTAGCCCACTATCAGAGGCACCTTATTGAAGTCGCCAGCCAACAGCGAGTCCAGAGGATCTTTCGTCAGGAACGCTTCGGTGTTGTCGAACCGTTTCTCAACAACCGGTGCGAAGTGAATCGGCAGGCCGCGGTGCCTCTCGTCGTCTGTCATCGTTTTGAATGTCATTTTGACGAGTTTATCGACAGGTACATTTTGCAAGAAGTCGAGTAGGGCGCTCGTGCCGACGCCTTTGTGGCCCAGGAACTTGGCCGCCCTGATGGCCCTCTCTTTTCCGTCGGTGCCCCTCGCCCAGTCGGCTATGCAGACGCCGCTCTGCGCTATCGCCCTGTGGAACAGACCCGCGGACATGGGCGAGAGCATGTGGTACGTCACCGAGGCCGCTCCGGCGCTCTCGCCGAACAACGTCACGTTTCCGGGGTCGCCGCCGAACCGGTCGATGTTGTCCCGCACCCAGCGCAGCGCGGCCACCTGGTCCTTCATGCCCGCATTGCCCGGGACCTCGGCGCTGTCCAGGCACAAGAAACCGAGCATCTCCAGCCTGTAGTTGACGGTGACGAGGACGACGTCGTGCTGCAACAGGAACTGCGGCCCGTACATGTCCGCATCGCCCGACCCCGACATGAATCCCCCGCCGTGTATAAACACCATCACCGGCAATTTGGAATCTTGTAGAAGAGACTTCGTATATACATTGAGAAACAGGCAGTCCTCGCTCCCCTGCAGGCGCTGGCCGGTGAGCATGTCCACCTGGGGGCAGGGCGCGCCGTGCTCGGCGGCCTCGCGCACTCCGAGCCACGGTTGCGCCGGCGCCGGGGCCTGCAACAACAAAGCCCGGTAATGTAATGTGGGCCTCGTGTTTGCATTGTCCCAAAGGTAACTTGTACATATCATTGTTATTTACATAAATTTAGCGACCGTCCTTAGTTAAGGTGTTTAGCGCTTGACTTGCAATATGCAGGTCCCGGTTCGCTCCCCGAGATTATCTAACTTCTTTTTAAATTATCAAATTGAAATTTATTTATTGAGGCATAAACGAGTAATGTGTAAAATTCGCCTGACTCATGAACTAGCGATACGCTATGCCTCTTGAGCCAGTAATCGAGATTCATATATACATTTATCCAAGTGAAGGTAAACATTAATCTCCTGTTTTCTACATATTGCGTTACCATGCACCCGAAACATTGCTCGTTATCAAACTTGTGGAATTGAAACACATTGCACATTTCACAAACCTTGAAACGGAGTTTGCCGAGGGGCGGGCGCGCGTACGGAATGCCTTTGAAGCTGTAGTAGTGCTCGCCGCCGCAGCGCGCGGGCAGCGTGCACACCGCGCCGCGCAGCGCTCCCTGCCGCACCCGAACCGTCGGACCCTAGGCCACGGCACATAATTATAATACCTTTATATACCATCGATAACGGCTTAAACATGTGTTGTTCGTTTACCTTATCTTCAAACTCTACTCTGGCGACAATATTATATTATAAACTATGATTAATAAATGCATCATGAGAGTTATGACGACATCTACTTAAGAAGATAAAACCGTAGGCCTTCATTCGTACGGGCGCTTTTATAACGCATGCCAAAAAGGAGTTCAAATATTATAGATTAAATATATTTCCATGTGTTCATCAAACATATTATCTGTTCATAGGGCAGCGCTTTTATAAAGCCACGCTTTTCGCACAATGTTGCATTTTGAGTAGGCGAATAAAACAAGAGTGATTTAAAAGCGCTCCTGGCTCATGACCCGTCAAAGTCGAGTTTTAACACAGCGTTAAAAAAGCGCCCGTGCAGATATCCTCTAAGAGTTTTTAGAAAATTTTATATATCCTTCACCTTCAATATACTACATTTTATAGTAAGTGGATTGTTGGTAAAGTAATTCTTACATGATGATGATCTAAGCCAGGCCTAAGCCTTGTGCCATGAAGCAGAGCACCGGTCATGCAACCATCATCACGGGACTGTAATTGCTGTACTCTTGTTGCACCAATTCAAAGTTTATTTCAAATCTATTTAAATACTTCATGTATCAAATGGTAAAACTTTACAACTATAATTATAAATATGTCATTAAAGTATTATGGTGTTGCATTTCTTTTACTTATTTTGTTTTTTTTTAAGATTCATCGAGAGACATGTGATGGATGTAAATATGTCTATCTTCATGTCACACATATTTATACCGCTAAAGTGATATTTGTTTGCTGTGTTCCAAATAGCACTGTGTCTGACTAACCGGTGCTGTCGGTGCACCTGCACAAAGAGTGCCCTGTCCTAGGAGTGGCAGCGAGTCACACTACAATGTGCCTTTACCAAGTAATGTTACTATCAATGATTACAGCAAATGAACAACAGCTGTGCCCCGCTGAACCTTCTACCTTCCCTTGCCTGTTCAACTATATGCAACATTTACTGACATTTATCTTAATGAGACTTACAACTGATTCACCCCACAACCCCACAACCGAACCCCACCATACTGCACTACCAAACTATATAGATGGCACCCTTACTTGATCAGTGTGTTTGTGAGGCTGAATTTTCATAACCTTCTCTAGCAAGAATGATGTGGTCGCTGCCGTCGAAATTACACTTAGTAGTGCATAATTTAGTTATTTTGGTTACCTTGTATTTTTCTTATATTGCCCATGTGTATTGTTCTGTTTTGGACATGGGTCAGTATGTTGCTGATACATTTGACACTGATATTTTTGTACATACTATTTAATTCATTTAATTATATATTTAGAATTTAGTTGAAATTTTTATGTCTCTTTAGTATAAAAACAATATTATATTTTCTGCTGTGAAGCTTGCTAGACTGTTTCTTTTATTTTACTATTCTATCTTATATTTCTTCATTTTCATTTTTTGCAAATGGATTGAATAGCGCTGACTATTCTAATACAAATAAATTCTGTAAAATCAATGGTAAAAGTTTCAATGTCATAATCTATTACTATAATGCAGTAACTTTATAATACCTAGTGGAAGTCCACCCACAAGCACTGAGCACACATGTGTAGCTATGCATGGGAATTGATTGATGGAAGATGGCAAAATAAATGCAAACACATTTTTATACATACATTAATTTCTTTGACTACTTTTAAGGTTTTAGCTTAGAGCATACATTTCAAACATAAACAATATATAATAAGGCAACAACTAAGTAAATGCAACAAATATATCAGGTGATATTACATTTCTCACACATGTAGAAGTACACAGATATAAGTAGTCAGTAAGGGAATAGTAGTCGAGAATAATGGTTAAAATAGTAGAAATTGAAACAAATTACAAAATTAATATTTTCTTACCATTGCTTTAGTGCTTTGTTTTACTAAAAAAAACTTAAACGCTCCTTTTACCTCAGAAGCGAACTTTGAACTAACTCTGACCATTGTTTTGTTAAACCAGAGTTTTTATTTACTAATATGTGCTAATTCAAAGCGCATTCGTTTTCGATTCGATTCCTTAGCTCATCTTATTGATTATTACGATTTTAACTTTCGTTAATTCTATACCTTGCCTCAATATAGGTATTAGTTGAAAGTTGATAAATGATAAGTATAAGTACATAGTACAAAACATAACATATGTACATCAGTATCAGTAGTTACTTTACAGTGCGACACAGTGTTGCCAGTTAGGCTAGCACAAAAAGTGTCAATATTAAAGGTAAATTTAATAGGGGAGACGATACAAATACAGTCCATTTTACGGATTGACCCACAAAATTCATTTTTATATAGTTTATCTATTTAAGATAGATTATTTTAACAATTTATTTGACAATTCATTAGATATGGTTGTCCAAAATCGATTACGATTTTTTTCGATTTTCGATTGATGTTCTCATACAACTTTCAATCGAAAATTTCGTGATTATTGTTTTTGAATTACAATATTAAAAAAAGGTTTCTTTCTATTACTACATTATCCTTCATAACTAATTAAAGAAATAAAATATTGCACCAAAATATGGTTTTCATAAGCAAAAAAAAAGAAATGTATTTAATTTAATCATACGATACATAGCCATATAACTGTAATAAATTCAAAAGATTATAAAATAACTAAATTACAGTACCCATCTGTTGGATAAATTTTTTTACAAGACCGATTTTCGGTAGCTCACAGTTATTCGTTGTGGGCGACGTCAACATTAATGGCATACAATTCGACTGATTCGGTTATTTTTTGTTATTCAACTTCGCATTACTTTGATGGATTTCTTAAAGGAGGATTTTGTCTCATCTCTTATAGAGTTACCAAAATGGTGTAAATTAAATAGACACAACATATCACGTTTTATAGCTCGTGATCATGGAAAAAAAAGAAAACCTATAAATCGACCTTTAATTGTTTATATTGTGAGTAATACACTTGCTTAAGCCGGCTATTCACGTTGGCCGAGGCTTGCAGAGCTAAGGCAAATACTTATAATACCTATAGAGAGTACATTTGCATTGGTTGCAATACTCGTATATCGGCGTGGTGTCGCGTCGTCGCGTCGTCGCTCGCGCCAACACTTGCACGCTCAAATATGAATGTAGCTTCTGTACAAATATAAAAATTTTCAGGCACATTATTAAAGATTAAAATTGCCCGTCGCGCTCCAACATTCTGACAATTGATTAATTGTGAGTTGCATCAAAACATCGGTTAGAGTATTCGTTATGGTTAATTATAACGATAACTATAACAGTAACATCAACATTGACAACCGATCGTTGCAGCATCACATCTTACGTTAAAGTTAAAGTTTTTTTTTTATATCCTGAAAACACTCAAATATCGAAGTGTCCGTTGTCCATAGACATGCGCAATTGCATGTGTTGCGTTGCGTACCTTTAACCGACGGAGGAGAGAATGCACTGAAAAACAAATATTTTCCCTTCCCTTCCTCTCATCCGGAAAGTCTACTTCCACTTCCCATCCTTTCCTTATAAGAAAAAGGCTGGGAAGAGAAAGAGTACTAAATTAGGCCTCCGGGACGCACACTCATCAGACGAAACGCGGAATTGCTTCCACTTCACGCCTATCTTCTGTGTGGTCGTGGTATTTCACCGGGCGAGCCGGGCCAATTAGTGCGAAGATGTTAAAGCAGGCTCTACCAGTGTTATAAGTTAAAAGGGTGACAAGTGATAAATGATATTTTCTCCCTGATATTTACATGGGTAATTTTTTTTTTACATTGCCATAACTACAATCTATTTGTCAGAAAGTGTCAAAAGTGACTTTTCGCTGTTATTTGTAATTTTATTTTAAATTAAATTGTGACAGTTGACATACACACTACTGACACAAACTTACCTTAACGCTAACCGTAACCGTCCAAAATTGAGTAGTTATAGTTACCGTAAAATATGACGTCAGTTTGACGAAAGTTCAAAAGGTACAAAGAATTTTTGCGCAACCGTAGCCTTTTTAGTTATAGTTAGTTGATGCAACTTACCCTAAGTAGATATCAAGCTCTAAACTAAGCCCTATCAAGAAATCACTCTCCGTTGACACTCACGGTTCATTCTAAAAATAGACGGTACATCATCAGAAGTGTTATAACAGAAAATAAATCAGACGTATAGATTGTTTAACATCAGGGCGAAGCCAGGCGGATAGTATCTATATAATAATACGAGCTGTAGCCCGTGACTCCGTCCGCGCGGAGTAAAATAAAAACTTACAGAGTAGCCGATGTGTTCTTCCTGAGTATGTTCTACATCTATAGATAGAAGACATTGACATTGAGCTGCATGGTGCGCCGCGCTTTACGGCTTATGACTTGCGGTTTGCGGTTTGAGGCGTGCGGTTTATGGCTTTTAGCTTCCGGCTTTCAGCGCCTTAGATATCCATTCAAAAAAAAATTAAAATAGTAGCTTTTTTATTTTAAAATTTTCAAAAGAGGGACCAATGATGTGGTGTGCTACTTGAGTTGCGAGCGTTGCGACTGCGGAGTGCAGCTGCTACTTCACCACAGACACCACACACCATTAAATAATGCGATGGAGGTTGGTTTGGATAATACATTAATGGAACATTATTTTCCTCAATAAAATATAAATATGAAATAAGTTCACAAAGTAAACTCTCTGCTGAGAATAATTACGAGCGGAGCCGGCGCAGGCCCGCGCTGCGGTACGCCTCGCTCTGACCAGCACCGTGTCGCTATTGCACCGCGCCTCTTTCGCGCTCGCCGCTAACTGTACTCTACGCTAAAATATTTTTAGTGTCAAGCTTACCTTCATATTTCTATGTCCCGATTAAATATAAATCAAACGAGCTAATAAACGATAAAACGTTTCTAGCAAGGGCAATATAGAGGGCGCCGGCGCCGGCCGGGCGATACTGTTGTGCCAACGAGCCAATAGAAACGGCCGCTTGCGACTACCTGCCACCTTATCTGGCCACCCACTTCACGCACATTCAAAGCAAACAAGGATTAGCCAGATTATCAATTTTATTGCGGCCAGGAGTCATTTTTTAAGGCCATTATTCGCGATATCTGCACTGTACAGGACAATTGTGCAAATAATGCAATATTTTTTGGTTTTAATGTTTGTTTATAACATTTGGTTGAGTGGACGCTAGCACGTGCGCCGCCGCGGCGTAAACACGCTGCGGGGTCGCTGGGGCGCGCCGTAGGCCCGCTACGCCGCGCGCTGCCTACGAACAGCTACGTATGTCGTACGACTTTTAGACAACGCACCGTGATAAACATGTGCGTGAGTTCATCGAGTGATAAATGTGGACACAAACTGGAATGCTTTAATGTGTTCTTTACAAGTATCGAGTAACTAGATGCAAAATTGTAAAGGATTTATTTGCGCCGAGGTGCGGGAACTGAGACAGTCTCAGTATATTTCAGTAGATTAGTGAACAAAGTGAAGCTAACACCATGTGGAAGCGTGTAGTTGCTTTGCTTGACCCGCTGGCACACTAACAGCCGACGGCCCGACGACGGGCATAACATTTTAACAGTGGTAGAGCCCGCTTTAACATCTTGGCACGAATTAGCCCGGCTCGCCCGGTGAAATACTACGACCACACAGTTTCGTCTGATGAGTGTGCGTCCCGGAGGTCTAATTTAGTCCTCTTTCCCTTCCCACTCTTTTTCTTATAAGAAAAAGATGGGACGTGGAAGTGGACCTTCCGGATGAGGGGATGCATGGAAATGTTTTCTTTCTGTGCATCCTCTCCTCCATCGACTAAAGGTAGGCAACGTATATGCAATTGCGTATGTCTATGGGCAACAGTCACTTCGCTATTTCAGCGACTTCAGGTGGCCGCTCGCTCGTTTGCCACCTTATGATATAAAAAAAAACGTAAAAATGCACACTGTCACCGGCGAATTGGGCTAAAAATGTACCGCGTAATTGTCATTAGTGTAAAGCTATAGAGGAATAGCAAACAGCTCACACACACACACATGCCTCAACCTTGTGGCACTGGGATGCACTTGGGAATTCATTACCTTGATGAGGTAACGGAGTTTCAGTGTCAAGCTCAACTGTCGAGATAGCTTTCTTTACAAGAGTGGAGATTTTCTCGGAACATTGAACGCGGCAACATGCTTCGTCCGCGAGTACGCGTTGATTGCGCCCCCTCTCTCCACCCTCCGCCCACCGTTCAACAAATGAAATATTATTGCGAAAATATCACTGTACCGATATCTGACTGCCGCCGCCGCCGCCGCCGCCGCCGCCTGCCGTTCGTTTACATGTTCTCACGGTTTCATTAGCTTCATATTTCATTAAATGAGAACCGCACCACCGCATCGCGCCGCGCCGGCGAGCAAACACAGTCCTTTCCTGATTAATATTATCAGTAAAAATGCAGTAATTATTTTGTTTTATTTTTATGTGTACGATATTGAATTGATAATGTTACGTTATCGAGGCGTCCGTTAGTCCGCGATGCTACCGGCCAGGCCGAGGTCGTGAGTCGCGACACCGCAGTCTCCAGCGCCCACGCCAAGCGGCGACTGTTACAAAATTAGCTTTATCTTATTAAGTTCGATAAAAAATTTTCGCGACCTCTATTTAAGTAGATTTGATCATGTGAAGATTAACCAAAATATAGTCATTGTTATGAAATGTAAAAATAAATAAAAAATGATGCTAAAGAGGTTTTGTAATTTTTTAACGATTACCCTTTCAAAGTGGTGCTTTTAAAAGCCCCATAGTGCTTTGTGTGAGCATGTATGAACGTTTAGTTCTCCGCGACGTTTAGCTACGTCATTGTTTACAACCCTTTCGCCGCCCTCCGCTGCAGACCTTTTACCATGACAAAGCGACCCCGAGGCCCCGGCCCCGCGCCCCGCGCCCCGCGCCCCGCTCAACGCTCGGCGCTTCGCAACGCGGATTACTTCGCTACTTTGAGTGTAAATGTTTAAAGGATTAGCGTCATGTTTACAACTTGTTTGTTTCTCTCTCTATACACAACTCCTGCTTATACAAACATTTTTGAGTTCGGTCTTGTTTGTTTGTAGAATTTATAATAATTAGAACATTAAAAGTTGATCTTTCTCCGCAGGTCAGGTGGGCACCGGACATCATAAGCCGGAGAGTATTCTATGATTTTATCAAAATTTTCACAATTTATTTATTTTTAATATTATTACAACGTTCCTCGTTACAAAACATTTCTTTGATAATATCTTGGGAACCTACAATGCATTAATGTCTGAATCCAATTGATCTTGTCAGTTTGAATGTTCCAACTCATTTGAGATGTGTTGTAGAAAACTGTTCAAGTGCTATGTCAATCACTTATTGTCAGATTACCTTGCGGTTCATAGAAGAGGAGTGTAGAGAGACGCTTCGGCACTATTCATACTATAGAAATTATTGATGACGCAATTTGTTCGTAACAAACACCGCAATTAGATGGTAAAAGATCATTTGCTGTTGTCAAGTTTGTAAACCGGTTCTTTTATTAGCCGGATCGTTAAATAAACTCGATGGATAAGCCTCGGCCTCAGGCTCACAGTTAAACAAGCAAACAATGATCCGCGCGCCGCCGGTGGCGAGCGGGTGGGTGCGCAGGGAGGGCGCGTGCCCCTCGCTCCTCAACTTAGTGATGCTCCTGAACTTTCGATAAATCTCTTTCAATATCGTTCATCAATGATCAGTAATTACCTGCAACTGACCTCCTTCACGTAGCCTAAGTCAGTGAAAATATTTCTTTATTAGAGTCATAAAAAAGTAGTAGCGGCTGGGTGCTAGGAGCTGGGGGCTGGGGGCTGGGGGCTGGGGGCTGGCGGCAGGCGGTGATGTACACCTGAGGTGCACGAATGATTTATTTCATTTATTATAGCTGAATCCGCGACTCCGTCTGCATGGAAGGAAAATCTTTATTAGGAGCTTATATGTTGTGTTCTTCCAGACTAAATTGAACATATATGCCAAATATTAAAAAAACCCATTTATCGTTGTGAGATTGCCGATTTCATGTTTGTAAAATACTATAAAATAATATTGACTGTACGGAATTATTATGTATGTAAATTCAACTTTAAAAAAGTAAAGAAAAGAAATAAGATTAGTAAAAAGTAAGAATTAATATTTAAGATTCATCGTTTTTAGTATTTAATTGCGAGAATTGCAAGCTCATTAAATGTAGCTCGTAGCAGGACACTGTATGTATATCGATAACAACATCGATCGTAGGAGCGTGTGTCCTTCGGCAACCCTTTGCCTGCCGGCGCGGCGCGGCGCGGCACGGCACGGTGCGGCGCGGAGCCGCATTTTAATGCATTCATGAGCCCTCGAGCGTGGCGACTGCAGAGTAACTAAACGACCCCTTTCTACATTCGCTTTTTATTTATTATTTTAAACGGCATAGTTGTAACTTTGAATGGGACCGGGCGGCGTAAGGAGGCGGGCGCGGGGCCGACATCTCCGCACATTGCCCCGGCACCTGTTAATAAAACGATCGTAGTTATGTATGTTTGATGTAATAATGAAATGAGTATGAAAATAAAGTAAATTACAAACAATATTAAACTAAAAAATCAGAATTTAATGAGTAGGTATTTAAACGAATTGTAAATTAAACCACAATTAAAAGCGTGTATATAAAAAAATATACATACTTTAGCAAAACTAGAAACAGAATGTTAGACGTGTGCGACTTCACTAGGATTCAATACACCAACTATTTTTGATTTAAATATGGGTAATTTGTCATGGAATATATCGATGGAGCTATCGTTGTTTATAAAGTGTTGCAGTAATCTGCACAACCTCGGAATTAGAGAATGGTGGCCCAAATTTGTTTTATATGTTCTGTGGGTTAGGATGGTAATCGCGTGGGGCGCGGCAAGCGATCTGGGACATCAAAGGTGAAACGACTGAGCAGATCTGAATTATCTTGTAGATTGTTTAATAGCTGATATAATAAAGACATGTCTAGCAATGTACGCCTGTCGGATAACTTCATAAGGTTAAAAGCTTAAATTCGAGGAATGTTGTTAATTGATTACCGTTTGCCGAAAACTAATGTTTACTTCGTGTATTTACTTCTATGTTTTCGAACTACATAATCCTGAGATTTATCAAGTGAATGGTGGTAAATGATATTAACATAACTTCTGGGACTTCTGCCATATCCCGACCCGACCCGACCAATCCAATCCAATCCAATCCAATCCAATCCGACTAATTATAAATAAATTTCATCAACGTACATACTCGTATGTACATAACCTTGTGATGGCGAGCAAGTTATTTATTTATTTATATAATTAAAATACAAGTTAGAAATGCACAAAAACTTATTTTTTGTATGATGAATACAAATATGTTTATGTAATTATAATAAATATATTGTACAATAATAATGTCCAAGGCAAATAATAAATTGAGCAATTCCCCGAAACAGATGCAGCAACACATGAGAAAGCCAATGAAAAGCCCAATTGTACCTGGTTATATGAAACTAAACATTAACTTGCTCATAGACATTATTTTTCACTTTTTATTTTTATCGCGTAAGAGACTTTGGTATTACAACGCAGGTGGGATGCAATGCGTTGGCTGCTGCAATAACCACGAGCTCAATGATAGTGTTATGTATGTGTAACACTATCATTGAGGTGTATGTAAGTATGTGCCGGAGACCAAAGTTTTATCCTTTTCTAATAAGGGATTTATGTGAAGGTGAAGCGACATTAATGTAAACCTCCTTCTCCTCTGTCCGTTAAACATTCGCGACCTACATATCTGCAACCTTTCGTCGTATTGAATGTGGGCAACGGTCACACCGCCATTTTAGTGATACGAAGTGACCGTTTGTTCATTTGCCGGCTTCTGCTGTAAAACATTATAAAAATCTTTATATTCTACGCCTATTTTATTCTATTATCTGTTAAAAAAGTCCTTATTTACTACTAAAATAGTTATTGGGAGAAAGTACGGTATATCGGTATATCGGCGAGGCGAGGCGAGGCGAGGCGAGGCGAATTATAAAAAATCCGTCACGTACGCGGCGTGCCTGATTCAATATTTGTGTTATTTATTGCTTGTCGATATCGACAAAGGGTTAAGCGTTAATGTCGAATGTTATACATTTTACGCGCCATTAAGCCTGCCGAATAGCGGGGAGAGGGCGGGGAGAGGGCGGGCAGCGGGGGTCTGAGGTGAAACAAACTAGCTAGGTCGCGATTTCGTCTTCACACAGGATGAATTATCAAAATCCTGAAGTATTGATTTGTTTAAAAAGGTTAATTTGGTCAATTTTGAGGTAATCCTATTAATGACATCGCATACACAGATCCCTAAGGCTGCTTGGTGGGAGGTAGGCATTAGACTTAGGCATTGGCATTAGGCATGTGCAACAAGGTGCAACGAGGGACTGTGCGAGAGATGTGTTGTTGTGGGCGTGTCGGTGCCAGAGCCGCCCTCGGAAGGCGCGCTGCCGGAGGGCGCGGGCGTCGGGCGTAGGCGCGGTCGCGGCAGTGCGCGGCCGGCGGCCACACGACACGCTACACACTACAAGCCAAGCCGCATCGGGACCGGGCTCGAGCCGAGCTGCACAGAGCTTCACTATTTAGTTTAACAGAGAGTGCGCCGCGACTTCGCTCGAAACATTAAAGTGATGCATGACAAAGTGAGTTTATATTTTTATACTACATATTAATGTCTTATTTTAGTGAAAGTATTACTCGATTTGCGTATTGTCAAACGTTTAATAATTTTCATCAATAACCGATGAATAAACCAAAAATCTATATTAAATTATAGATATATAATAATTTATATGTGATGTTTATATTTTTTGTTAAATTAAAGAAAGAGTGCAAGAAGTTAGGGATGATCGCGCCAGCCACTAATATTGAAGTAGTGACGTGAATTTGCCGGCAGCCTGGTCTTGCCGCACTGGACAACTTCAATGTTCTTACTCAACGGATATTATGTTTATTTTGTTTTTGTCCAGTACGACCTGAATATATTCCAATGAAACTTTCTGTCTACACATTGAATCATAACTAGCGACGGCTCATTATTCATTTTTAAACATGGTGGAACTCCTCCTTGTGGGGGTAAGACACATTTGTTTTATTTTATTATTCTTATAAAGATGAAACATTTTTTTCTTTATTTTTCGAAATGAAATGAATGACAAAATGAATCTTGCACGTACAAAGAAATCGGAGGAAGTTTTTACTGTTTTTTAAAAGCAAAGTTTTTACGCAAGAGACATTTTCAAAGTTTCCATCTTCTGCCTTCTTTTTATTTTTGTTATTCTTCAGAATAAAGAAATTATTCATAATTATGGGTAGCATAATCCCGAGGACGACGTTTTTCACACATCAATAGATGTAGATGTGCGGTCGCCGGGGCTGGGCGCGGCGCGGGGACAATGAGGTCTCGCCGCCCCTAGCGGTCTTTTATAACGGTAGCCAAATGCAAGTGCAAGTGTCGCGAGCCACGTAAAACAATCAAGTCAGGCTGTGGGACAAATTTTTGTATAGAAAGTAATTATATCCCCAGAATTGTAAAATATCTTACAGCGCGGCGTTTACTAATTGTCCACGCGATAAAGCCGTGTTTATGGCACGGCGAGGTGCGGCCGGGGCGACCTTATAAGTGAAGAAAATACTTGATTGCAAGTCAAATAATAAATTTAGTAATCCACTGAACTCAATTATAAAACACGTCGTTCCCCCTTTGAAAAACATATGTCGCTCGGCCGGAAATCACGGACCGGAAACGGAATGTGATAAAGTTCAATTGACTCGGCGGCGTAACCTGCCGCCGAGCACGTGGGCGCACCGCGACTGGCCGCGCAACAGGGGTGCCCTGGCTGACACCCCCATTAACTTCAAACAAATGACATATTTAACATGAATCACGTTTCTACAATATTACAGTTAAATATTCCCCTCAAATTTGTACTTTGTATTTGTACTTACACTTAGCTGTGGCCTCCACTTCGTCCGCGTAAAATCATATCTTTGGGTAGAATTTCAATGATTTATTTTCTTCTTATTTTACTGACACTTAAAATACACAATAATTAAAACATATTAAACTGACAAAACATTCACATAAACCTTACATGTTCTATAATAATAGGTACAAACTTTTATCTCCTGTTGTTATTTTGCTCACTCGAAGGTAAAACATTTTCAAAAATTTTATGTCATATTATATCAAATAAACAGCCTAAAAAATAAGTTTTTAGCTTCTATATGTAAAAATGTCGATACTTCCATATAAATTTCCAACCCCTTTTCAATCACTTTTTCGCGTTAAAAAGTAGCCGGTCCTTTCTCAGCCTCAAGACTATCTGTGTACCAAATTTCAATAGGTTTACTAGTTTTTGCTTTCACGCAAGCTCAAACAGACAGACATACAGAGTTACTTTCTCATTTATAATATTAGTATGGCTTAATATGTAAAGTACTAGCACAGTCGTAATTTCAATGAACTTCATTTTAAAGTCAACATATTTATACTTTGTATGTGATTGTCCAGTTTGTATTGTGTGTTGTACGTGTGTTGCACGTGTGTTGCAGGCGCGCAGTGTGAGCGGCGCCGCGCTCGACGAGTACTGCGAGCTGAGCGAGAGTGCCTGCAGCTGCGACTCCGGCTTGGAGAACTCGCCCGCCTGCCACTCTGCGCAACGTACCACCCTCACGCCGCATAAACACACTAACGCGAGGCGAAGGCTCTTCGATAAAGAATTCGGTTACATTTTCCAGGATTCAATAGAAGCTATTAAGAGCTTCGAGGACGACCTCCTCCCGGGTGTCGACACGTCGACTCCCGTCAAGTCGAAAGAGAAAAAACCAAAGGATCGAAACGAGCCGAAAAGAAAATATGCAAATGGAAAAAATAGAGTTACAAGATGCAAGAGCCCGTCGCAAATAATCCGAATCAAAAGGAACCGACGAATGAAGGCGAACGACCGCGAGCGCAACAGGATGCACATGCTGAACGAAGCGCTGGACCGGCTGCGCGCCGCGCTGCCTGCCTTCCCCGAGGACACCAAGCTCACCAAAATAGAGACGCTGCGGTTCGCGCACAACTACATACTTGCCCTCGGACGCACGCTGCAAGCGCTAGACGGCGGGCGCGCCGACCCCACTCCGGCCTGCGGACTGATGGACAACTGCCTCGCGCCGCCCGATAAACTACATAAAGATGCGTTTAGAGATATATTTCTGCTAGCCAACAAGAGCGAGGACTACGCCGCGGACGGCGACTACAGAAGTTTCCAGGGATTCAGCAAACCTTTCCCTGACGGATCTAATTTCTTACGTACATCGGAAGGCGTATTGATCAACGTGGGCAACGTAACTGTGTCCGTGAATAACGCGGGCGGCAATTGCATCGCATCCGCCACGGGCAGCGGCTTCTTCTCCGCGCCCGGCGACTCCGCCAGCGGCCGCCATGACGACAGCGGATATCACTTCCCAGCATTTAACGAGTCTGAAGATTATTTTAATCAGAAACACTACGAAATATTTAAAACGGCGTTTGAGAGTGCCGCGAGCCATTCAAATGTAACAAACCTTGAGGTGGGTCGCGGCGAAGGGTGGTGGCCGGCGACGGCGGCTAGTGCGCCTCGCCTTGCCGAAACTCCCTCGCACCACGACTATTACTACAACGAACAGGGTTATTATGGAAGTTATTACAGGAATAATATGATTAACGCTCAAATTTGATGATGTGCCCAAAAAGGTTGTGAAATTATCTAGTCACTATGAATTTGTAAAAACTATTTTCATGTTATTTACAATTTTATTTTAGCATGCAATAAGTGTAGCACGTGACAATAAATATCGAGATATACGTATACATCGTTACGATTACCAAAGTCTATGTCTAGTCATAAATATTGTAAAACAATTTAAAAAATATATTTTTTACTATGAAAAATGCCTACTTTTAATTCTCGACGCGACTCCGTCCACGCGGAATTAAGAAAAACTTAATAAGTAGTCTATGTGTTCTTCCACACTATGTTCTAAATCTGTCTAAAATTAACAAAAATCCATTGAGCAAGACCGAGACCGAGGCGCATCGCATCTTCGGGCGCAGCAGAGCAAGCGCAACTGGTAATTCAAATTAACTTATTCAGCTTCCGACATCAATTAAGTCAGCGGCAAAGCGCTCGCACTTGATTTAGCGCCGGGAATAACAATAGCAGAGCCATGAATATAAATCAAATTGGAACAAAGCCCGCTAAAGAGCGAAAAGTTGTGAATGCTCGAGCGCACCCCTACCCCTGGGTGCGCGCACGCTTTGTCCCCGAGCCCGGCCCATGCAACTGGCACCAGTACGCAGTCGAGTCCCGCCGAGGCGATTGCGACCTTAAAGCTATGAACGAGAATCGTATATCGCGACGCGGGAGGGAGGACGTAGCGCGCGGCAGCCGGCGCGTCGCATTTAATGTTTACTTTGGAAATTCGTTATGGCCTATTTTGTTTGGTGCGTCCGCGGCCGACTCCGACTCTATAATTCTCCTGTTATATTCTATTCTATTGTGTACATTCAATTTTAATCTCCGTAGTTAACCGTTGCGAGTCGAATGACACGGCCCACAGTTTCTTCGTAAATATTTAAATGGGTATTTGGTTTTAGCGCAGAAAGCAATCGGTTGGGACATGAAAACAAATGATATCGGCCGTTCAGAAGAAACAACGCACGCTGCTCATCATTCTGACCTTCTCAGCCAGTACTGAGAGGTTCCCTCAATTTCACCACTCCTCCTACCTTGACTGTTTTAGTTAGTTTAAGCGAATTAATCAGAAAAGGGCATAACATTATAGAATATGGATGGAAAACAATTACTGTTGTTTAGCTCAAAAGTACAGTATTCTGTGGACGGATGGCAGGCAGGCATGACAAATTCAGTTCAAAACGTAATCCTTAAATCCTACGTTGAAAAATGTTGAATATACTCGTAGAATGAGCCTTAACGATAGGTAGGGATAGCGAGGAACTCAACCAGCACCGTCATAAAAAATACGAGTAAATCTCTCCCAAGTCACACTATGTAAATATGTACGAAATAAAGTAGAAGACGATGGTGACATTTTTACTTTAAAAATATTATGTTTTTCGAATGTTTGAAACAATAAGCAATTAAAATGTCGGAGGAACCTGTAACTGCGAGAGAGGAGTGGAGCCGAGGCGAGCGCCGAAGCTAAAGCAGTACGCGCGACGTTCGCACAGTCCAGCCCTCTCCTCCGATAAAATCAATTCTTATTCCGTTAATACCCAAACATGAATTGCCGGCACCGCAAATTAGCCCTACAGCTGACGGGCTGTACGTTTGCACTACTCGTGTCCACCATTATATCGCTTATATCTTTGCTCCTAGGGCACAGTTTATTGTGCGTTCCGCCATAGCTTCGGGCTACCTGCTAAGGCTGACTTACGGACACACATCGCCGCGCCATCTGACTCCCCCAGCGCTCACAGAATTCGCGGGAAAGGGGATCATTGTAATGGCTCCCGTAGCACTAGTCGCAAAGGGATGAATTCTTTGCCAAAATTATGTATTTGGCGGTGTGCAAATATTGTCGATAAATAATTTATGATGGGAATAAGGTCTGCAAACATTGGGAACCGAGCGAGACCAGAAATTAAATAAAGAAATTACCTTAAAACATTTTGGTGTAATATTAACGAGTGATTGATATGACATTGATCAATTAAATGGAGTGAGTTGCCGTCGCTCAAAAGTTCTAAAGATAGTAAACAAAGCCATGTATATTATGTACGAGAACAGTAAGAATTGCGCGGTATAGGTGATAGTAATTCTGAAGATATATAATGAATATGTGAGATGTAAAGGATGTGTGATGATCCAGTCTTAACTTGAACATAAAGCGGTGGTTGCGACATGACCGGGGCGAGGGGTCTGACAGCGAGCGCCCCTCAACGCAGCACAGGCACAGCCTCTTCACATTGATTGAAACCGACTGTACCTTTATGTATTTGTTTGTGCAGACAACAGCCCAGTCGAGAGCACATCTGTAGTTCTAATTTTTATGACTAATAAAAACACTGTTAGACGGGGGCGAGTGCTCAAAAATGTTCGCTCGATACCGGCCGTTGACTGACATCCAGCTGGCCTGCTTCTGTTCGGCAAGCAGAGTAACACTGTCAGCTGGGCGCATATTGATTAATTACTTTCTTAAGTAGCTTTTTATTAAGCGGTATTTAGTATCATGAGTGTCGACACGTGTCGGCTCGTATCGGCGCGTGTCGGCGCGTGTCTGCTCGTGTCGGCGTGTGTCGGCGCGTGTCAGCGCGTGAAGGCGGGCGGGGCTCGCGGTGGCGGCAGGCCCTCAATAAATTTAATACTTAATAAAAATATTACATCAACATTAAGTGATAGGATAATATAGCGAGGGCGACCCGCGACCGAGGACGCGGCGTCGAGCCGCCACCGCACCGCTTTGGCAGCGTCCCGCCATTTCTTCACTGCGGCTTTGACTTTTTTTCGAAACATTGATAACAATGTTTTTGTGTATCGGACGGAGGAGATGGACTAATTACAACGAAGAAAAACTAATATTTCGGGAACATTATGTTCGTATGTATTTGCTTTACTTATAACGAAAATCTAATTTTTAAAATTATTATCTCCGAAATGCCTGGAACGGTTCTCTGCTCGTATAAAAGTGTAAATGGATTGTTTGACAGGTTGAGTGGCTGCATGGTCAATGAACGCATGCATACAGGGCCTACGGACTCAACTCTATTTTACATCTTAATTTGTATAACAAAAATCTATTACTAAGTTACGAAATTCATCTCCTTAAACGTGTAACGTGAAGGTTGAAAGTTTGTGTGGAGCAATGGTAATACTTCAATAAACCTAATTACTTGAAAATTGACTCCAACACTGTGAATACAAATAATTAATTACGTTTCAGGTTTATCTTTCAAATAAATATAACCTACAAAGTGGTCTAAAGAGGGGCTGAAAGTTGGTATCTAAAAACATATTTCACGGCTTAGGTACGAAGTATATTTTGGTATCGGTAAGGAGGTGGAATCATCAAAAGCGCTCCTTTCGAAGTGAATCAGGTCATGTGCGACATAACTCACTAAAACCATTCGGTGGAGATCGTCGAGTGTCAAAATGATGTATCTATGCTTCTCTGTTTTCCCACGATGAAGCCTGCCCCGCTGCCGGATCCGTCGCTCAACTCCAACAACAACCAGTGTTGGGTGAACGTGTATTGATGGCCATTTCAATAAATGATTATAAATTTAAAGTGCCTCTTGTGAACGTCGCCGCTACGCCACAAGCGCGGTTCTATTGCACTTACACGCGCTTAATCTTTGTGCGAAAACAAACTGTGTCACTGATCCCAAACCCGCTCGCAATACAACGGCGACAGTTCGCCTCGAAGTGGCCGGCTGCGACCCACTAGACTGCGCGTGCCGCCGCCCTCGCATCGCTTCACCTCGCTCTGCCTCGCTCTGCCTCGCTCTGCCTCGCTCTGCCTCGCTCTGCCTCGCTCTGCCTCGCTCTGCCTCGCTCTGCCTCGCTCTGCCTCGCTCTGCCTCGCTCTGCCTCGCTCTGCCTCGCTCTGCCTCGCTATTCTACATATAACTGCAGGAATATTACATATTGTAATTATTTATTTATACTATTTACTTTTTATGTGTGTGTATAATGTGGCAAGTGTGCAGGTAGATAGGTGTTGTTTTCCTTGTCCCAGCTCCTGCATCTGTCCTGTCGGTATCATTGCTTTTATATCAGATCAACAAAATTCACAAGCGAGTGTTTATAATTACCTTATAATTAGAAATTAAGCGTGACGTCAGTTAAACTTCTATTAATATTATAATCCCCGGATGTCTCTCATTCAATTATAACAAGCGTTAAATAATCTGCCAAACGCGAGCCCCCGCCGCCCCGCCGCCCCGCCGCCCCGCCGCACCGCCGCCCCGCCGCCCCGCCACCAATACTTGATTTCACGGCTTTCGATACACTGAATTGCCTCATTGTTGATAAAACGGACGGACAGCTTTGATGTAATATTTATGAATCGTTAGCGCGGGGCTGTGGCGGTGGCGGGGCAAAACCTCAGTTTTATAAAGCCAACTTATCTTTTACGAGGGTTTTAAATGCGAATGACAATGTTTTATTTTTACTTAAATTTTAAATTCGGTAAAAGCGGCCGTACCACGGACGTACAGACTCGGCCGCATTAGACCACTTAGGGTAAAAAGCATCGTGTCCAGTCGGCCGGCTCTTCTTGAAACTTTGCTGGCCTACACTCAGATCCATTAAATAGGATATGTTTTAGGAAGGACTTTTACATCCCTAAACATTAAGGTGCATTAGAATGCAGAATATATTCTAGGATCACAAGCCGAACAACAACAGAACAACAGGACTCTAAGCAATTATTGTTACAATAATATCTTTATGTAGTTGGAACTGCTAAATTATAATACTAATCCCAGAAACAGATATTATTGTATTTGCCGATAAATTGTATCAGGCGTCATTTAACATATAGCACCGAAAGTCCTTCTTACAAATATGAAATGATGATTTTTCCTTTTTTGACGGTATCAGTCCCGCAAGTAGCTAAATTAAAGCGAATGTGTTAATGATGAGGTAGCTTTATAACGCAAACGTGAAAAAGGAGCTTTTATTGTAAAACATTTTGTCGCTCGTTGCACAAGTTGCTGCTGCACAATGAGTGTTGTTGTGTTGTGTGCGTTATCGCGGCTCGCGGCGGCGGCTCGCAGCTCGCGGCTCGCGGCGGCGGCACGGCAGCGCGGCGCCCTCTGCCGGCCATCTGGCGACACGACGCGCACAATGCGGTGCATTCATGCAGACAAACTTTTTTAACCAAAAAATGGATTTTGGCTCAAAAACATCGTTTATCTGCAAAATGTATTGTAACGTAGTAGAGGGGTGCCAGTAAATATTTATTACACATTTTATATACTTTAATGTTTTTATTAATTTCCTGCTCAAATTGTCCCATATTATGGCCATTAAATATTTCTATTATCTGGTAATTATTTGTTGGAATTTCTGGTAGAATATTTTGTTTTGTTTCTTTTTCCAGTTGATTAATTCAAGATGCACAAACAAATTCAAAGGAAGCACGTTCAGTTTCTAACTGTTGAATTGTTTGTTATTTAAAGACTTCGCAAATGCATCTTTTAAGGCG